ATCCCAGGACCCCGGGATCATGATCTGAGCCGAAGGCACACGCTTAATGACTGAGCCACCCAGGCGCCCCTCTTTACAGTATTTTATTTAATATTATTATTTCCTTTCTTCTGCTTACTTTGTTTTTATTTATTTTTTGTTTTCACTTATTTTTTTCTTCTGATTTCTTAGAATGGAAGCTGAGGTCATTGACTTGAGATTTTTCTTCTGCGTAATATAGGCATTTTGGTGTTATAAATTTCCCCCTAAGTGCTGCTTTAGCTGCCTTTCACAAATTTTAATATATCATGTTTTCATTTCAGTTTAGTTCAAAATACTTTCTAATTCCTCTTTTGATTTCTTCCTTGATCCATGGGTTATTTAGAAGTGTGATAGTTCAAAATATTTGGAGATTTTCTAGATATCTTTTTGTTATTGATTTCTAAATCATTTCCACTGCAGCCAGAAAATACACTTTGAATCTTCTCAAATTTAATTGAAACTTGTTTTATGGCCCAGAATATAGTCTTTCTTGTTTGGTGTTCTGGGTGTCCTTGGAAAGAATGTGTATTCTGTTGCTGTTTGGAAGAGTGCTTTTGTAATGCCACTGGTTACGCCGAGTCAGTTGATAGTGTTGTTCAAGTATTCAAACTTCTGACTATAACTTGTCTATCCTCACAGTTCTATCATCTTTTGCTTCATGTATTTTGAGAGTGTGATATCTGGTGCATAAGTATTTAGAATTGTTATGTGCTTTTGATGAATTGACCCCTTTACCATAATGAAATGATCCTCTTTGTCCTGGTTGTATTCATTGCTCTGACATATATTTTGTCTGATATTAATATAGCCACCCCTATTTTTTTATTAGTGTTAGTATGGCACATCTTTTTTTTTATTCTTTTACTTTTAATCTACTTATATCTTTATATTCAAAGTACATTTCTTATAGAGACCAATTGAGTCTTGCTATTTTACTTAATCAATCTTTGCTTTTTATCTGGATGGTAAGATCATTTACATTTAATGTATTTGTGGAATAGTTGGTTTAAATTTACCATCCTATTGTTTGTTTTCTATTTCTGTCAGATTTGTCTCTCCTAATCTTATTCTCTTTCCCTTTTCTGTCTTCTTTTGGATTAATTTAATATTTTTATTTTTTTCTAATATATACTGTATTCTTTTTTAAATTTAATTTTATTATGTTATGTTAGTCACCATAAAATACATCATTAGTTTTTGATGTAGTGATCCATGATTCATTGTTTTTGTATAATACCCAGTGCTTCATGCAGTACGTTTAATATTTTTAAAGCATCCATTTTATCTTCTTTTTTGGCATATTAGCTATACATCTTTTAATATTTTAGTCATTTCTTTTGGGTTTATAGTGTACATCTTTAACATACATAGCCTATCTTAAAGTAATGTTATACTATGTATGCTATATACAGTACAAGAACCTTACAATTCTAGTTTCATATCTTTTCAACAAATAATCCCAATAAAATTATAATTTCTCCATTTCAGTATCAATTTTTCAATCCCAGAGAGGACTCTAGGTGTCCTTGCTTGGGTTCCATACTCATCCCTGAATAAACAACAATGGACATGGGCATGAATATTTTGCTAAGCCTGAATTCCTGCAGCAGCCCTTCTAGAACTTCGTGGAATTGGAAAGGAGCTCACCAGAAGAACCTAAGAAGAGGAATGCAAAAATGCACTAATTAGACAAAAACTAGAACTATCATAGACCACTACAGGCAAACATATCACATTACAGTTTGGCAGGTGGAGAATTCATTCACACTTGCTATAAATTCCCAATATATTTTGCCGACAATACTGAACTTGCCCATACAAAGCGGGAGCAAATGAAGCATTTCTTTATATGACATTTTCCTGCCCCTTGTCTCCCCCAGGGTACATAGCCACCAGTGACGCTTTGCATATCTGATTCCTGTCAAGCTGAAAAAGAAGCCAAACACTCCACTACCCTTTTATATTTGACTTTTATTAGCACTCTGGAAAAATTTTTTACAAACAACATAAGTACTTCTGTGTAGGGCAGTTTCTCAGCCTTGAAACTATTGACATTTTGAACCAGATAATTCTTTGCAGGGAGGGGCTACCCTGTGCATTGTAGGATTTTTAGCAGCATCCCTGGACTCTACCTGCTAGACGTCAGTAACACCTGCCTTCCCAGTTGTGACAATAAAAATTTCTCCAGATAGTGCCAAATGTCCCCCAGGAGAGCAACATTGCTCCTAATTGAGAACCACTGGTTTAAGGGAATGTTTGCAAACATCAAGATCTATAGGTTCTTGACCCCAAATCAACATCAGCTGGTGGGGGAAAAGCAGAATTAACATTAGGTGCCATCAACTCCTGTTCCATATCCCTGCAAGCCTATCTGTCTTTAAGGGACTGCATCTGATGTTCCCCCACTACAAAAACAGCTCCCAGCACCTGGAAAAGAGCAGTGCTCAACCACCACAACCATAGCCAATGTTAGAAGAATAAGTGAGTGAGTGGATGGATGGATGGATGAAAAGAAAAATAGAGATTATTCACAGTGTTACTCTGGGGAAAGGAGTGACATAGATGGTATATATACATAAGAAAAGAGGATTTTTACTGTTTCACTAAAAGTTTCTATTTGAGTTTTATTATTTTTACCTGCATGACTTAGAGAATTTTAACTTTTTTATTTTATTTTTAAAGCACTTGGAAATCAAATCAAGCATTTTCTCTTTGGTAACTATCTTTAATTTTCTGGTTTTTGTTTTTTGTTTTTTTGGAAGTACAAATGTGGACTTTAGCCCTAGCTGACCTTTCGAATACTCTATCACCAATTCTGAAGCTTAATTTTTTTTTATTTTAACTCATGAGCAAAGAGCCATACTATGAGTATTTGTGAATGGGATTTATGTCGGGAAGAAAATGTACTTAAGACAAAAGTAACTGACTTGTCATATTCAGTTATGTGCACTGGGCTCAAGGGCAGGGTCTGGGGTGCACATCTAGAACCCTATAGAGCTTGGGTAAGCGCAGGCCTTCCAGAATTGTATGCTGGGGAATGTGGTGATGATGAAGCTTCCTAGGCATGATTCTGGTCACTCCTGTTTTCCTTTGTCAAACTCAGATTTTCTGGGCAGAAGAAGAGAAGGGGGTGGTGAGCTAGGTGCAGTGAGCAGCCCCCTGAGGGAGGAACAGGTGTTTTGGCCTTTTTGCTTAAGGCAGGCAGGAGAAGTCAAAGGGCAAAGGAATAGGGCAGGGAGTGTGGAAGGAAAAAGATAATTTGTGGGGACAGCTGTTGTTTCTCTTTCTCCTGTGCCACCAGCAGAAAGATGGGTCAGATCCTCCCTCTTCGGGGAGAGCAGACCCCCATCCTGCAATGGGGAGCCCAGCAGCATGAAACGGTCCAGTGCCTGCCCCGGGTGACACCCCAGCTCCTGTAGAATTCTTGTCTCTCCACCCCAGACAGAAAGGCCCAGCCTCCTGGGTCTCTTGAGAGCTGGGCTCCAGGATTCAAGAGAGCCTGGCCTGCAAAGTGAGGTCATTTATTTACACGAGGCAAGCAATGCACGGAGAGGCAGAGCAATCCATCCGCCTTAGCCACCAAACAGATTCCCTTCGTCTCATCCTCTTGCAGAAGCGGTCAAGGTAGGGAGGTTGGGCGAGGTGACCTTCCAGAACTGAATCTTCGCTTCTAAAAATAGAAGCATCCTTGGAGAATCAAGGAGGACGGGAGGCTGTGGATGTTGAGGGCAAAACCTGGACTTCCCAGAGCATTGTCAGTATGAAACTGTATTAATTAGATGAAGCCTCCCAGCTCAATAACGTTAGGTATCACTGATACTGAAACTAAATGACCTGGCTCCCCCCCACCTCCTTTCTGGTAACACTCTCTTTGGGCTAAAAAGGAGAAAGAAAACCATGTCTTCTGACCTATTTGAATGGCTGCACACTGCCTGAGGAGATGTCTTCCAAGAAGAGGGAAACGGGCTCCTTAGGGACACACCAAGAGAAGGCCAGAGCTGCGGTTAAGTAGGAGCCCATGAGGCCAGCAGCAGGGGGTCACCACCCATCTCCCTGGGTGGAGCCCGTGCAGGGCTCTGTGTGAGGCTGGGCAGGGCCGGGTGAGTGTCTGCGTGTGTCCACGACTGTGGATGGCGTGTGTGGGTCTGCAGGGCCCTTGTCTAGAGTGAGATGGTAGGGACTAGGTATTTCAGGATCCAGTGGCGCTGTGTGTTGGTCTACACACGTAGTGTGTGACCAGGCTGTGTGCAGTGCTCTGGCGGGTGAAGGGTTGTGTCTGTGTGTGTGCATGCACATGTGTGTGTTTTGGGACGAGGTGTTTGCTGGAGTGTACAGAAGTATTATGGCCATCCTGGGGGTGCTGTGTTGGGGAGTGTGTAGCGCTGTAAGGGAAGGAGGCATAGGGATAGTGACTATTTGGAGGACTTTGTGGGCTGATGTAGAGCCTGTGGGAAAAACTGTGGGGGGAAACTCCATAGGAAGTGGGGACCTGCTTGAGAGGCCGCAGGAGGCTGCTAAGGGCTGTGCGCAGAGCGTGTCTGGGCAGTTGGTGGGGCTGTGCAGTCCTACAGAGCCCCTCTTCAGGCAGCTTTGTCCTGGGGGCCCTGGGGGATTGTGGTGGCACTATGAATGGAGCCACATGGGGGACTCTGGGAAATAGTTAAGGCTCTGGGGGGTGCATTCAGGGCTGTGGGGACCTGTGTGAGGCTGCGGAGGCCTGGATAGAGGGTGGTAGAGGTCCTGCGCGGCCTCCACAGCCTTGCCATCTGAGTGTGGGCTGTACTTCCTTAGGGGCAGGGGCCCCCAAAGTCCAGGCATCTGTTCTTCTCCTTGTGACTGACATGAAGGGAGAGACAGCAGGGACTCACAAGAGGAGCAAAAGGAGAAGTGTGTTCCTTCCAGAGCTGCCCTGCAGCTGATCCTTATGCACACCAGCCTCAGGACACTTTCTAATGCGTCCCTTTGTGCTTTCTCCACAGGACAATGTGGATCTTGGAGAGTTGATGTTTTCCCTCTGCTATCTTCCAACTGCTGGCAGGCTGACCATTACCATTATAAAAGCAAGGAATTTAAAGGCAATGGACATAACAGGAGCATCAGGTGGGACATTCTCAAATTCAGACTTCTTCATAGGGTTCTAATATAGTACTTTCATGAAGTCTTCAGTAGAGTAATGAGGTGCATGGAACCAAACTACCTAGGTTTAATCCCAGTGCTAGACCTCATGGCTGTGTGACCCTGGGCAAGTCCCTTAACCTCTCTGCACTTCGGATTCTCCATCTGTAAAATGATGGTAATAATCGTATCTGGCTCATTGGGTTGTTGTAAGTTTAACTGAGTTAATGCATATAAAATAAGAATAGTACCTGGCACATACTAAATGCTACCTAATGTGAATAATCATTATTATTCTCTCTTAGGTCTTCTTCATTGAATAATCATTATTGTTCTCTCTTAGGTCTTCTTCACCGTAATTGTGAATTTGTCCTACAGTTTATACACACGCTGATATAGTTCATCTGAGTCTTTCCTCAGCTATAGGCAATCACCATCTCAGGCCTGTGGAAGATTGAAAAACAATATCCTCATAAAAAGCCCATCAATGAACTATGCAGTTTGGTATTGCCAGTGAATCAAGCATGCACACTTAAATTCTAAACCATAACAAAAAATGCCCCGATATGCAGTTCCTTCTATACAGCCTCTGCAGGGGCTCCCAAAATGTGGTCATAAAACACCCAGTGCACTGGCTATTGATCACAGAAATCAAAGGATGCCGGATGCAATATAGCCTGCTTACTGTCCTCCAGTATTTTTCTAGGAACAAAAGATGTGGCCCCTTCTGGCCCTCTGAGTCCCTCCTGGACAGTGTACGGGGAGTCAGTGGTTGTGCAGGTGAGGAGAGAGGGAACTCCCCACTGAGCGGAAGGACAGTGAGGGGGAGCCAGAAAAGTCCCACCGGGAGCAGGGACCAGCCTTGTCACCTGTCCCCCTCTGCTAGTGTTATACCACAAGCAAACCCTTGGGCTTTCTTTCCCTGCCGTGCTGCTGCAGGCAGCTCTCCTCAGAGTTCTCCCTGTCATCCAGGTGTTCTGCCTGTCCCTTTCCTAAAGACCTGAGGTTTAGGAAGATTCTCTGAGGTGGCTCAGAGTTCAGGGCCTGTGGCCTGTTTCCCCTGCCTTGGAAGTACCTTTACGCCTCCCCCTGTTGAAGCCAGGCAGGTCTTGAATCTAGCTGGAATATTTTCTAATTCAATAACAGATGTTTTCACACCCTTTTTAAATTCCACACACTTTGAGGAGACAGAGTCCTGTGCTTCTTCTTGAATGAATGTCTTAATTATCCTAACTCTCATCACTGCCCAGGCATCGTATTAATTACAATCCCCAAACTCCAGGCCACAGGCAGGTAAGGGAGTTCTGCATCCCATTGTCTGTGGAAGCCCATCGTGATGAAACTGCCCCCTGAACCCACATTTTCCTCACAGTCCTCCTGCTTCTCCTGCTCGTACAGATCCCTACGTAAAAGTGTCGCTGATGTGTGATGGCAGACGACTGAAGAAGAGGAAAACATCCACCAAGAGGAACACTCTGAACCCTGTTTACAACGAAGCCATAGTCTTTGACGTCCCTCCCGAGAACATTGACCAAATCCACTTGTCCATAGCCGTCATGGACTACGATCGGTGAGAAGCCTGGAGCGCGCGCGCGCTCGCTCTCTCTCTCTCCTCTCTCTCTCTCTCTCTCTCTCTCTCTCTCTCTCTCTCGGCAGGTCGGCCATGCCTGGGGCAGGGAGGGCAGAGGGGGTGTGCGGCCACAGATGCTCAGCTGACAGCCCAGGCTGTGGGAAACGAGTCAGGAGAGCCCCCCAGGGAAAGCTGACTGACGGGAATCGGCATTTTCCACACCATGATGTAGAGTCCTATTACCCGAGTGCTTCTTCGCTCTCCCCCTTTTCATTTCTTTCTGTCTTCCACCCTCCCCATCCTCCCCACCTCCTCCCCTCTCCATCCCTGCACACTCCCCAGAATCTCAGCCTGGGAAACCAGGACCCTGCAGGTCTTAATCTTCTCCTGCGCAATCCTGCCTGGCCTTTGTGGGAAGATCCCACTCAAAATAGCAGAGTGATTCCTTTAGCCACACCACCAACATTTCTAAATACATAACTCTGTTATTTTTTTCCCTTCTCCCAATGTGTTTAATAAAGATCATTTCCATCCACTTAAGTCTGAAAGCAAACAGAAATGTTCTCTTGAAAATGCTAGAATCAGTATGGATGACAGGGTACATTAAAATGTATAAGATGCTCGACTTTCTAATTAATACAGCACAGAAGAGATATTTATAGCTTGCATTGTAGCCAATTGTGTATTTAAAGGACAGATTTGAAAAACAGTCATTTTAATATGCAAAGGAAGTACCAACAGGGAATTAGACATGTTAAACCAGTCATTAGACTGAAATGCAAAGTCTCTTTTTAATTGGAAACCTCCCATGTGGTCTGGGCACAATTATAAAAAAAAAAAAGAAATCATTCTGATTTCGAGTATAATCTTACAAATATTATTTATAGATAAGAATTTTCCCACATACCCCTGAAATGTCAGTAGGGCAGCTTCAGCACCCCGAACACTCTTTCTAGCAGATGCCTAGGTCAAGCAGAACCGTCTTCCAGCCCCAGGAACACATGGTTTAGCTCAGCGGCCCATGGGTGTGATAGCCCATGTCGGCAATAGACCTTATCCTGTCTTCTCCGCAGGAAATGCAACACCAATGGTGTCAGCCCACAGGAGGGGCCATTGCCCACCAACCGTGGAAAGCTGGGCCAGCTTTTTTCAAGCAATTGCCAAGTTTCCCGCATCAACAAATCTGATTATATGAGCTCTGCTTCAATTCAATTCTCAGTAAACTCATGAATCTGCCTGGAAAAATCCATGGCAGAATTCATGGGGCTTCTGCATGCAGCTGATTTTAATGAGCATAGCCTCGAATATCCTTCACACTCCCCCACCCATTTCTCGCCCTTATTCCCTACATACAAATAGGAGAAAAACCACTCATCTTTGCAGGAAGGAAAAAGAAAGCCCATGAGTTTAGATCCCAAAGAGTTAAAGGATGGGTCGTATCATTCTAGTTATGCAGATGACATCTAACCAAAAACTACTGAGGGGGAAGAATTGTCCCAAGGTAGGGACGTCCCCAGGGAAAGTTTCAGAAATATTAGCCCTAAAGTTACAGGAGCTAAGTATCTCTCTATAGGAGGGAAATCAAGTCAGGTCAAAGAAGCAAAGATGGGCTTGGAAGGAGACCCAGTTGCTGTCTCCACCCTGCCCCCTTTGTAAGCTCCAGACCACGGCTGCCCTACATGGCGCATCTCTCTTATCCATACTTGGTTGCCTCTTCTGGGAATTTGAGCAGCCATAATGCAAGGAACTCCTTTCAGATGGCCTCCTTTTCATTATATAGACTTGAAGACCTGGAGGTCAACCTAGTTCTAGAACCAGAGTTGTCATCCTTAGCATGCATCGGAAGCTCAGCCATGCCAGTATTACAAAAGCCAAGGTGTGTGACGGCCGCACTCCGCTCTTCCTCTCTGTGCCCCCAAGTACAATATTGGATCCCAAGTTCTGTTGGCTGTTAAGCTTGTCCTGTAGTTTAAATGAGGGAAGGAGAGAACCACTCTTGCCCTCATTCCTACTAGTTTAATTGAGTAGTTGTTGCTCTTACTTAATTTTAAGAAAAAATTATTGTGGGCCATTTTCACAGTGTAGGTCATAATGAGATCATCGGCGTGTGTCAAGTAGGCAACGAAGCTGAGAGGCTGGGCAGAGACCACTGGAGTGAAATGCTGTCGTATCCTCGGAAGCCCATCGCACACTGGCATTCCCTGGTGGAGGTAAGACCCTATTCCCACATGTTGCACTTCATGGAAGAATAAATGCTTTGCTGTTGAAATGCAGGAGCCACCGAAAGTGTGAGTATACCAGGGTCTGTGGTCACCAATGGGTTTCTCTGGTTGCCCTTCCTGGAGCTGTTGGAAATTGCGTTCAATCTACGGTTGAGTCTATGCACCCCACCTGTCTAGTAGGTTTTGAACATTGATCATTCATCCCTCACTTTGTTTCTCTTCAAAAATGATTGAGATCCTCTGGTTCCATGTTATGGCTTTGGGTTGACATTTGGAAGGTATCTGCACGATCTGGATGAATTGGAGTTTCAGGTTGCCATATGGTGACTTATGCATAGCATCAGAAAGAGTTTGAGACTAGGAGAGAGGAGGCCTGGATTCCAGGACTGGCTCTAGCATTAACCTGTGATCCTGGACAAGCTGATTAGTATCAGATTCAATTACATGTGATAAAAAGAAAAAAACAACAACAAATGCAATAGAAATTTGTAACTCTTTTACATAAAAAACGGTCTGGAAGGAGGCAGTCCAGGGTGTTATAGTGGCTCTGTGATCAATAGAGACCTAGACTTCTGTCTTTCTGCCTCACTGTCCCAGTATGGGTTTGTTTTGTTTTGAGGCCTCATTGAATAACATGGCTGCTAAGCTCCAACCATCACATATCTTCCACGTCACAGAAGGGTGGAAAGAGACAAAAGCTAAAAGCACACATATTCTCTTTTAAAGGATTTTCCTTGATGTATCATGCAATACATTTCCCTCTGCTTAACTTAGTCACAGAACAGCCACGTGGACACATGTGGGAAATGTATTCTTTTGTTGGGTGGAAATATGCCCAACTAAAAACCAGGGTTCTGTGTGCAAGGAAGAAGAGAGGAGTGAATACTTGCACACGGTGAGCCATCATTCTGCCTCACACCTTCATACATTCACTCACCACCCCCCTACCCCATCACTTCTCATTTATGCTTCCCCCATCCATCTTTGCCCATTGACTCACTCTCTTATTTATTTACTAACTCATTCTCTCAAAACAAATTGCATTCACCAGGTAACATTTGTGAGAGTCAAATGCCATATTAGATAAAGAAAATAGATGGGAATAGGAAACCTTCCCCTGCAGAGCTTATAGACCACAAGAGAAACAGAAGAAGGCATGCTAACTAATCATTAAAATGCACGGTCATGAGCTTTAACAGCCACATCAGGTGCTGCTGGAGCACAAAGGAGGGAGGTGAGATTGTCCATGAAGCATTCTCCCTCCTGCTCAAGGGAAGGGAAGGGAACCCCTGGGAACGGAACTCCCCAGGGAGCATGGGTTCCAGGCAGAGAACTTTGCTCTCATTCTCCCAGCGCAGGCAGCTCTGCCCTGTGCAAAGCCATCCTGAGAGGCCAAGACAAGAGCCTTGTCAGTGTGGGATCTGCCACCACTGAGAGTCTGGAGAGTCAAGTTGAAGCAGACATGCTGGGCAGCTGTGCAGAGGCAGTGGGCCCGGGGAGGAAGGGACAGTCTCCCTTTGTTGGAGGTGGTGCCAGGAGGAGAAGAGCAGTGCAGGTCTTATGGACTGATTCTAAGCTTCAGGACCATTGGGTGTATTCAGCAGCACCTAGGGCCCCCTAATTTACAGATCCCTGCAGACACCTCTGCCCCTGCCATTGAAGCTAGGACTCTTTCTTTCCTGGACTCAAAATTGATCCCTAAGGGAGACCCACAATTCCCAGGAACCACCTGAGAAGTAGCTGGGAGACGGATGCTGACCCAGCTGCCCTCGCTTCTTCAGCTCCTGGTAGAGCTCTCAGAGGAGTCTGTGTGGGTGGGGGCTCATGATACCGCCTGCGCCAGCCAGTAGCAGTGGCTATCAGAGCAGTGACAATAGGCTTTTTGCACACTTACGAGTCACTGCTGACTTTAATTCTTGCTTGTAATCTGGAGTGTCCCAGAACTCTCCGCTTCTCAGGACACAGGATGGGGGAAGGGGTGAGGTTTAGGGGTATGGTGTGGGGCTGAGACAGGACCCAATTCGGTGCACAGGCAGCGCCTTCTCAACACCCTTGCTGGGGAGGAAGGACAGGTGGTGCATTGTCCCAGGAAGGACACTGGGCCCCGAGTGGCAGGGCACGCACGGTACCCAACAGGAAGTGTAAAAAGCACGCCTTGGAAGCTGCCTTCGCAGCCGAGGAAAAAGCGCTGTCTGACTTTGCAAACCTAGGAGATAGTCCCTAAACCCTGAGCACTTGGCTTTTTGCAAATGTGTGTATGACAGCGGTGTGAGTGAGAAATCCGTGCTCTTGGGGTTAAACCACCGAAACTTGGGAGTCATCTTTCACAGCACCTGGAATGACCGGCCAGCACGATGGGGGTTTCTCAACTGCTGCAGCGGAACCCCCTGCCTGCACACCTGTGGGAGGGGCCGGTGAGGGTCTCTCTGCCCCGCGGTGTCCTGTCTCTTCGAGGTACGTGCCCAGGACTCCACATCTATCCTGAGAGCGGAAGCCCCACTTTCCCTCTTAAAAATAAACATGCAGCTAGCAGAATTGGGGCTCTGGCACCAGATGAGATGAAAAGCAGGATGGGAAAGGTCACCGCGCTTTGCGGACAGTTGTGAGGCTGGAGGCAGCGGAGCAGAGCCTGTGGGTGGGGGCACTCACTTGGATGGGCCTACGTTGGTATCCCTGTGCTGCCACTTGCAAGTTGTGTGCTTTTACCTGTCTGAGTCTGTTTTCTCATCTGCGGAGTGGCCATAACAGCGTCTGTCTCCCAAGGGTGGCTGTGAGGAGTGATCGGTCTGATGGATAGATGGGGAGCACAGTGGTGGGCGCATAAGAAAGGTTCTGTCTCATGGTCATGATTGTTTATGTCCCACATTGGGAGGGACTGCCGTGTGTCCTCATGTGACTCTCATCCACAGTGTTTGTCACAGAGGATGCAAGGGAGGTTGGAAGTCCCCCAGCCCTGTATTCCAGGGAGCCATCAGCTCAGAATGGGTAAAGGGGTCATTTGAGGCATGACTGGACATAGATGCATGTACTTAAGTTCTGTTTCTTCTCCTCTCTTCTTATACTCTCTACGAACTTTTAAACGTTCCGCGTGAAGAGAAAAACAGCAATTAAGTCCCAGTTCTGCATGTGTGCGTGTGTACATAAGCATGTGTGTATGAATGAATGAGAGAAAGAGAAGAGGAAGAATATGGGGTAGTTAGGATTTAGTATAAAGGGAAGCTGACCTGGCAGAAGCTCCTCACTGCTGGGGGCTGAGGGACCAGGTTAGGATTGAACCCTGAGCCCTGCAGAGATCTGGCAGCCAACTCCAGGCTGCATCCAACACACCCTGACCTTGCCAGGGCAGGTGACAGATGGAGTCTTCAAAGTCAATGAGTTTAAAAATCCATTTCTCTCGCAGGGTTTCTGGATGGCTTCACTACACACTCAAAGGTCAGCCAATACAGCTCCCTTTACTCTCCATGATGTCAAAGGCTTGGGAAGCTGTGCAGACTCCCCCAGAGCTGGGTGCCTGGGACTTGGGGACATGAGCAGCCCCTCCATGGGGCCTCAGGAGGTGACGGAGCTCCTGGAGCTCCCACCACAGCCCCCTGTTTGGTATATCCCAGAGAAGATGGTGTTGGCCTGGCCACATCCCAGCACCTTTTCCACCCTCCTGCATGTGGAGCTGGCCTCCATCATGAACCCCAGCAAGAGTGATAAAAATAGCTCCAGGTCTTCATGGCTTCCCACTGTAGTGCCGCATAACCTCTGCATTAACAAATAGTGACCTGGTCTCATGGGAAGACCAGACATAGACACTTATTTGGCTAAAAAAAATTTTACTTTTCTAAAAGAGTGAGAAGACAGAATATCCAATCAGAATATATAGTGAAGATCAGCAACATTATCCTGACTGGCAGAGGTACAAGATTCTAAACCCCAAAGTCCTACTCAAGTTGTGCTTAGGTGTGGATAAGTCTCCTCTCTCCAAGCTCAGGCTTTCACGCATATATGTATATGAGGCTAACGGGGTTCTGCACCCAGCTGGTCTGCTGCTCTACAGGGCCACCTCACAGAGCCCAGTGCCCCCTGCAACTCAGAGTTATGCAATCCCCATGCAACTGAGGGACCCCAATCACTGAGGGACAGGTGTGACATAGTACACCTGTCTGGCATGAGCAGAGTACTCATCTACCACCCTCTGGAGCCTCCTTAAAGGTGTAAACTTACAGCTGTAGAACTAAAGCAAACATCGATTACCCAGACTCCCCTGGGGGTTACACGAGCAGGCCCTTGAAACCAGCTCTGGATAGTATCCATCAAGTGCCCAGCAGAGCCTGCCTGGAGTCTTCGAGGTACACACATTCCCGGGAGAAGCCATTTGATTGCCCTGGTTGGGTCTCCCCTGGCCCAATTTGCTGTAGGTCAGAGGTCTTAGAAAATGTGAGCCAGTGCTCACTCCAGCATCCTGAGAAAGGCCCAGGCAGGATGGAGAAATTGATGCAGGCAAACCCCACTGCTACCCAGATTGTGAAGTGAACGAGTCAGAGGCTTTAGCACTTTGGGCAAATTGTTATTTATAAAAGATTGAGGAAACAGGAGTGATTCTCCAGAAAGGGGAGGGGTTGGCTGGAAAGAACCAAGCAGGAGATCAGTTTCCTATCAAAGGAGTTTGGGTCTGTTGCAGGGCTTGGGTCCCGGTGAGGACTAGACTAGCGGAGAAGGAAACAAACTGGTTGGGGGTGGATCGTGGACTGAGGAACAGGACAGGGAGAGCCCTGGAAAGTGCTGCCACTCAGAAGCAGGAGGGACCTGAGCTGCCTATAGCACCCCCCTTGCAGGTCTCTGGAAATACCATGAATCCAGTTCTGGTGAGTAGGGCATGAACTGAGGCTGGCGATCACATGCTTTGCCTCTGAAGGGGTGGCTCAGGAACTGGGTCCATGAGCTGAGCATAAGCCTAATGGGTGTGTCAGGAGGTAAGAAATGGAGGAGATGAGGAGTCAGTACCTGAAGGACCATGTGCTAGCACATTCTCTTCGCCTTGTTGTGACATCCCCCCTCCCCACATACGTAATCCAACAGAAGGCCTCAGTGTCTCAGAGAACAAGATGCTTGTTCTGGATGGGAATTGAGAGAACAAGCATTTAAAGTACATTAAAATAGTGTAAGGAAGTGTTAATTTCTTTATTCTCTAAAATGAATACCATCCTGGTAAGGGAAAAAACATAAACTTGATCTTGCCCATTGATGTTTCTGGTCTTTTCTAGATTATTTCAGTCTCTCTGGGTTAAATATTCAGTCAAATATCATGTTCACATTCCCTGCCAGAGTGATTTCTCTTCTTCCTGGGGGCCTCTTCTCCTTCCTCCTTCCCAAGCTGGTGTCCAGGTGTAGGGAAGCCCAGTGGCAGGGATGGACTGCGCACTTTCATCTCACTGGGGACATTGTCCTTCTTGTCTTTGGCCATCAGATGCCACTGTTACTGCCCGTGCTGAGGATCTCTGCTCGTGGAACTTGTGACCTGTCCTCACAGTACAAGCCAGGCACGATTGCTTCTTGGGAGTTTGGCCCCTTCAAGGCTAACCAGACCCGAATTGGCCTCGTGCCAGCCCTACAGATCTCTGAGGTCTGGCCGCACATCTCACTTGATGCCCAGCCTAGGAAGCCTGGGAAGTCTTTGCAGCCCTTGGTATGGGGTCACTTCCCCACTTGCTGGACCTCCCTTGAACCCTGTCAGCCAGCAGTCACCTCCTTTCCACACCCTCCAAACATCGGGGCCACATCTGCCTTCAGCCTCCTCCTCAATCCACCTGAAACTTGGGATTTCGGGCCTGCGGTCAGGACCTCACCTGAGAGCCACTCTTCCCCTCTCCCTATCTCTTCTGCCAAAGGCTCTCTACTTCCTCCTCCCAGCTGGTGGACAATTCTGTAACTGAACAAATGTGAGTTTGCTCTTTGGTGAGTTGCAGGTGGAGACTACACCCCAGGGAGTTGTCACACGAAGGAAACTTCATTTGCAGCAAATAAGGAGATCACAGGGAATAACTTCCAAAGCTATGACCCGTCCCACCCACCAAGCAAGGATGAGCAGGTTCCTTTTATTTAAAGTTTAGGATAAAAATAAAATACAATAAAGTTCAGGATGACTGTTCGGAAAGGGGAGCTTTGTCCTCGCTTGTAAAGGCGGACACAGGGTGTGCAGACATACTTAGAAAACATGCCTGTACGTTCATCCTGTTTGTTAGTACAGCTTGTGCTCCTTTTAGGGGCCGACACTTTGACATTATAGTGAAGCAGAGGTAATTGTCAGACAAGGAGAAGGGGCTGTGGGCATGCTTCTGGGGCGCGAGAGCAATATAAACTGACTGAAGTCTTGCACTCCTTATTTTGGAGCCCAAGGCAGGGCCTTGCTTACTTTTGAAACAGCACTGGCGGTTTTACCAGTGACTGATTGTCTCTGATATGGTCAGGTTGTTGTTTCCTGGCCTGGTAGACCCTAGTGGTTTTTGCATTTCCTTGTAATTCTTCCACCTCCTAGGAAATTCTGCAAGAAGTGTGCTGGTGCTAGTAGATCAAGGAAAACAGCTGGAGACCTAAAATGACTTCTCTTAGGTCACTGAAGCTATATCTCATCTTTCTTTTTGGGGGGGACCCCTAACTCCTTGTGCTTACATTTCCTTTATATCTAGCACGATTCCTCTCTACTTATGCCTTATGTTCAGATGTCCAGGGTTTCCTCTCAACATGTACAGCCAACATTTGGAATTTTAAGTATATCTCTTTTCTCTCAACAAGGCCCAGCTTTCCAGATTCTTGTTTCTCTTGTTTCATGAGGGACTCGCTGATGACTGACCTTGTGTTATTT